AGCAGGCACTTGAGATCCAATTTCTTTTCCAGGAGATACTCCTTCACACTAGGGCCAAACACTTCATTGAACCACTCGACGAAAATTTCCCTCATGACCCATGCCTTACTATTAGATTTCCAAAACACACACAATTTACTCTTCATAACATTGTTTTTCCTGAACACTCTGGGATTTTCAGAATGGTACACTAGTAATGGCTTCACTTTGAAATCCCCACTAGCATTAGCACAGAACATTAGCGTCAGCCTGTCTTTCATAGGCTTGTGTCCTGGCATTGCCTTTTCCTCTTGTGTAATGAAGGTCCTCTTTGGCATTTTCTTCCAAAAGAGGCCTGTTTCGTCACAATTGAACACTTGTTCAGGTTTCAGTCCTTCAGCCTCTATGTACTCCTGGAATTCATGCACATATTTTTCAGCCGCCTTGTGGTCCGAACTGGCAGCCTCACCATGCCTTACCACACTGTGTATGCCAGTACGGTTCTTAAATCTCTCATACCAAATCTTCATGCAACTGCCTAGCCTTTTCACAAATAATCGAAGCCATAAGAGTATCTCATGCTAATTGTTTCTCATTTATCCACACCAATAATAACTTCTCAACCTCTTCCAGTACTGGTGATCTAATTTTTGTCAGCATAGTTACTTCCTTTGCAACAACAGCATCCTTTATTTCCCTTTTCTTGGCCACTATGGAACATAAGGTTGTGTAGGGTTTTTTATACATCCTGGACAGTTCGGCCACACTTGTACCACTTTCATATTGTTCAATGATGGTTTTCTTAAATTCAATCGTATTTCTCACCTTCTTTACCACAGGCTTGGCACTAGGAGCTTTCTTTGGAGCCATGGTAGCTTATTTAGTACTTGCAAGCACTAAAATAAATGGAATATTATGAAATATTTCGCTGGAACACGTGAGGGGACCTTCTCTCACTGGTAAACAATGCCAGACTGGCTGCTGCCCCGGCTCACGCCGTGGGTACGCGTCCCGGACGAACTACGACTCGCGAGTCAACCTATGAAAAGCGAGTCCATGTTTATACGAAAATACCCCCTATGATTGGCGAAATTTACGATTGCCGGGAACTACGAAAAGCGGGGGACCACTGTATTACTTTTTTTTTAACCCCTTCAGGGTCCAAGGCCCAAATCTGAAGTGGTGCCCCAGTGTCCAAGAATTTAAAAAAAAAAATTTGTTATTTTTTCTTATGAAATGGTAGAGAATCTTTTTGTGAAGGTAATAAAACAAAAAGTACAAAATTTGATGGAAAATTGACGAAATTATGCTCTCACGAATTTTGATGTGTCAGCAATATTTACGAATCGGCGATTTTGCCGACTTTGACTCCCATTTTAGGCCAATTACATTATTCCAGTCAACCAAATTCTTAGCTATTTCACTAGTATTACTTCTATTCTATTGACTGAGCACAAGAAATAGCCAAGTCAACTGTTTCAACTACAAATTAAAGTGATCGGAAATTGTTAATTTGGCCAATTTAACACAAAGTTCAAAATATTCCAATTTCAAAATAGGGTCCAGAATAAACAATGTAGGTATTCCTGGAACTAAACTAACATTTCCTCTGTTCATTAGTTACGTTTTGAGGCTTTACAAATAAATTCCATTTTGTTTTTTTATTCATATAATGAATTTTTATTCACACCAAAAAATAGAAGATTTACTGTTATGCAATATTGTAATAATTGTATAAATATCATCACCATATTTGTGAATGCATATTAGACCCACCAGCTGGTGTGTATTAGACGTGTGAGGTCGTTTGTTTACTCTTGAATATCGGCAAAAATTTAACATTTCTGCTATTTTGAGCTCAGTTTCAAGCCATTTCCAGTGCTAAAACCAATCAAAATCATCTCTATTTCTGTAATATGTCTTCCATTCTATCAAATGAGACCAAGAAATTGCAAATACAACTATAAAAAACATACGAAAAAACACTGCAAAGTCGCTGTTTTAATCGAAAAATCATGATTTCAGTTTTTTTCTCTCATTATACACAGTGTGCTGCAGGATCTGTTTTATGTGGTGCACACATACCACATAGATGTATTCTCTCATATCTAGGCCCAAATGTACCACTCACAGTTTATCAGAGTGAGCTGAGCTCATGACGTAGATCTACGGTTTGGACCCTGAGCGTAAAGCCGTAGATCTACGGGACGGACCCTGAAAGGGTTAAAAAGTGGACGCTAGACAGTGAACAGGTTAATAGTCCATGTCTAGCTCTTAAGTAACATTTAAATTTTATAATTAGTTGCGAGAAGTGCACTGCATAACTAGTGGCTTTCTTTTGTGCCTTTATTAAACCTTTCAGGGTTGGCAGGGCCTCTCCTAAACATGTTCTCAGGGTTGGAAATTTTTCGAAAAAAAAAATTATTTTTTCTTATGAAATGATAGATAATCTTCTCCCGATCATAATGACACCAAAAGTATGAAATTTGATGGAAAACTTACGGAGTTATGCTCTCGCGAAGTTAGCGGTCTCGACAATGTTTACGTATCGGCGATTTCGCCCACTTTGAGCTCTATTTTCAGCCAATTCCAATGTACCAGTCAACAAAAATCATACCTACTTCGCTAGAACTCCAGTTTTTCTATCGAATGAAAACAAGAAACCACCCATTTACCAATTTCCACTATCCAATAACGTTGTCAGAAATTGGCAGTTTTGCCAATTTCACACAAATTCCAAAAGATGCCAATTTCCAAATAGGGTCCAGAATAAACAAGACAGACATTTCTGGCACTAAAATAAGATTTCCTCTGTTCATTACTCGTGTCCCAGGCCTCTGTTACATTTCTTTTGCTTTCCACTTTGAATTTTTATTCTCACAAAAAATAGAAGATTTATGTTATGCAGACTACTGCATTCACATAGAAATGACATAGAAATGGTATAAATAATATCAGGGCACTTGTGAAAGAATATTACACTCACCAGTTGATGTGTATTGGATGCGTGGCATGATTTGTTTACCTTTGAACTTTGGCAAAAATCGAACATTTCTGCTACTTTGAGCTCAATTTCAAGGTACTTTTCATTGTGAAACCAGTCAAAATCATCTCAATTTCCATAATATGTCTTCCATTTTATAAAATGAGACCAGGAAAACTAGAATACAACCATAAATAGCATATGAAAATACACTGCAAAGTCGCTGTTTTAAACCAAAAACTCTTTTTTTTTTTTTCTCATTATGCACTGTGTGCTGCAGGTTTTTTTTTTTATACTGCGCACACTGACCACATAGACCCATTCTTTCATATGTAGGCCTACCAGCTTTCTCTCACTAGATTTGAAGGTGCTAGAATTTATGCGTACTAGTACGGCACCAACCCTGACGTGCAAGCCGTACTAGTACGGCACCAACCCTGACGTGCAAGCCATACTAGTACGGCACCAACCCTGAAAGGGTTAATTGATGTAAACTGTATTATTTGTATGGCATAAAGAAATAAACATTAGTATCATTACCCTTCTAAAAAACATGCACATCCATAAGTGTACTCATCAGTGTTTATTTTATAATTGATTTGAGGAGGGCAGCTGAGGTAGAGCCCCAAGCACAGATTCCATAGATGAGGTGTGTGTAAATTGCATCAGGACCTGTGATTTCAGTAAGTTGCAATACCTCATTCTAGTACCAGTACTCTTGTGGGCTTAATGCAAACAGTGTCTTGTGAGTTAATGTCATGTCAGAATCTTGAAAGTTCATTGGAACCATTAAAATAAGGGCTTTGAAGTAATGGAAAAGCGGTGTTTTGAAATGCATTTAATACCATGCAAGAGTTCTTGCATTACAGTACTTTTAACCCTTTGAGGGTTTTGGCCGTACTAGTACGGCTTACGACCCAGGGTTTTTGACGTACTGGTATGCCTAAATTCTAGCGCCCTCAAATCTAGTGGGAGAAAGCTGGTAGGCATACATATGAAAGAATAGGTCTATGTGGTCAGTGTGCGCAGTATAAAAAAAATCCTGCAGCACACAGTGCATAATGAGAAAAAAAAACTGACCGTGTTTTTGGAATAAAACAGCGACTGCACTGTATTTTTGTATGGTATTTATTGTTATATTCTAGTTTTCTTGGTCTCATTCTATAGAATGGAAGACATATTACAGAAATTGAGATGATATTGACTGGTTTTACAATGAAAAGTACCTTGAAATTGAGCTCAAAGTAGCAGAAATGTTCGATTTTTACCAAAGTTCAAAAGTAAACAAATCACGCCAAGCGTCCAATACACGTCAACTGGTGAGTCTAATATTCTTTCACAAGTGCGCTGATATTATTTATACCATTTCTACACTAATGCAGTAGTCTGCATAACAGTAAATCTTCTATTTTTTGTAAGAATAAAAATTGAAAGTGGAAAGCCACAGAAATGTAAGAGGGGCCTGGGGATGTGACTAACGAACAGAGGAAATGTTATTTTAGTACCAGGAATGTCTTTCTTGTTTATTCTGGACCCTATTTGGAAATTGGCATCTTTTGAAATTTGTGTGAAATTGGCAAAATTGCTAAATTCTGACCACTGTATTGGATAGTTGAAATCAGTAAATGGGTGGTTTCTTGTACTCATTCAATAGAAAAAATGGAGTTCTAGAGAAATAGTTATGATTTTTGTCGACTAGTACACTGGAATTGGCCGAAAATAGGGCTCAAAGTGGGCAAAATCGCCAATGAGTAAACATCATCGAGACCGCTAACTTTGCGAGAGCATAATTACGTACGTTTTCCATCAAATTTCATACTTTTGGTGTCATCATGATCGGGAAAAGATTCTCTATCTTTTCATAAGAAAAAATAATTTTTTTTTTTAAATTTGGCCGACCCTGAGAACAAGTCTCGGAGAGGGCCTGTCGAGCTTCAAAGGGTTAATAATGTAGTTCTTGACAAAAATAATTTAACTTAAATACTTTATTAAGTATGTAGTAGAAAATTAATCTATACTGGTTGCTGTTGTTTTTCAGATATTAAAACTGAACAAGACATTTGCTTAGAAATGGAAGTTAAAGAGGAACTTGTAGAAGAAGAACCACTGGAAAGTGAAGAAACAGAAACGGTAAGGCGAGTCATTTCATGATGCTCAGCTTACTGGTACTACAGTAAACAATTTGGAAAAGGTGATGTTATGGGTTGCTTTCTGAACTTAGAGGCAGAATTAACTTTTATATGTATTATGGTAAATCATTAGTATCAAGGCATCACATATAAGATATCTCATTATGATTGAGGTGACCAAGCCATATTTCCTCACTGTGACCAAGGATGCAAACTGAAAGGTAAATCTTGTGCGTCCAGTACACCACCACCTTTTGCGCCTCCACTTACTGTCTTTCCGCCTCTTCACAATTGATTTTTATATTTATTTCCACTTCTTGCTTTGAAGTTTCACCACCTGTTGTGGTGGTGACTTACTTTTTTTTCCCATTTCTATCATTTCAATTTTGATAGTTAAATTATAAAAATTACTTTTTCTTTTAGTTTTTTACCAAATGCATTAAGACTGTGTCTATGCTTATTTTAGTCATGTGTTGAGAGCTCATATTTCTTTGACAGAGATTGGTCAAGAACTATAGATTTTATATTAAGGCTTTTGTTAACTCTTAAACGGTCCAAACGTATATATACGTTTTTTCGACATTTGAAAGTACGTAAAAAAATGTACATCAACTGTTTTTTTTTTTTTTACATTTGAAAATGTGTAAAAAACTTTTATCTACATTTTTTTTGTTATATTTGAAAATATGTAAAAAAAAAAAAAATAGATCTTCTTTTGGAGCACTACGGATTTGAACGTCAATCTATTTGGACCGTTTAACCCTTTGACTGTTTTCGACGTATAAATACATCTTACGAGCCAATGTTTCTGACGTATATATACTCAATAATTCTAGCGGCTTCAAATCAAGCGGGAGAAAGCTGGTAGGCCCACATGTGAGAGAATGGGTCTGTGTGGTCAGTGTGCACCACATAAAAAAAATCCTGCAGCACACATTGCGTAATGAGAAAAAAAAAAACTGATCGTTTTTTTGGAATAAAACGCCGACTTTGAGGTGTATTTTTGTATAGTATTTATCGTTGTATTCGCGTTTTCATGGTCTTAGGTGATAAAATGGAAAACATATTACAGAAATAGAGATGATTTTCATTACTTTGACGATGAAAACGACCTTGAAACCGAGCTCAAAGTAGCGGAAATGTTTGATTTTTACCAATGTTCAGGAGTAAATAAATCACACGACACGTCCAATACACATCAACTGGGGAGTCTAATATTCTTTCACTAGTGCACTGATATTATTTATACCATTTTTACAATAATGCAGTAGTCTGCATTACAGTAAATTTTGTATTTTTTTGTATGAATAAAAAATCAAAATAGAAAGCAATAATAATATAAGAACTAATGAACAGAGGATATGTTATTTTAGTGCCACGAATGTCTACCTTGTTTATTCTGGACCCTATTTTGAAATTGGCATCTTTTTTAGTTTGCGTGGAATTGGCCAAATTGCCAATTTCTGACCACCATATTGGGTAGTCCAAATTAGTAAATGGGAGGTTTCTTGTACTCAGCTGATAGATAAAATGGAGTTCTAAAGAAATAGCTATGAGTTTGGTCAACTGGAACAATGGAATTGGCTGAAAATAGGGCTCAAAGTCGGCAAAATCGCCGATACTCATATGTCGCCGAGACCGCTAACTTCGCGGGAGCATAATTCCACGAGTTTTCGACCAAATTTCGAACTTTTGGTGTCATTACCATCGGGAAAAGATTCCCTATCATTTCATAAGAATTTTTTTTTTTTTTTTTTTTTCAAAAATTGAGCGACATAGAATGACAGTTTCAGAAAGGGGCCTGAAACAGTCAAAGGGTTAAGGGTTAAATGTTCACTGCTCTCCATATCTAGAGAGACTGTGTGGTCTGAGGTGAGGTAGCTAGCACAGCTGGTTGACTCTCTCAGCCTCACACCACTACCTCACTCTCTACCCACCTACTCTTGTGTTGGCTATTTTTCTTATTATCACCCTAACTTGTTTCTGGATATTAACCATGGCATAAAAAGAGAAATACAGTGGTACCTTGAGTTTCAATCAGCTCCCAACTCGAACAATTATGTAAATGTATTTTTGTAAGTGCTTTTGTAAGTGTATTTTTGGGAGTCTGAAACGAACTAATCTAATTTACATTATTTCTTGTGGGAACAAATTCGTTCAGTATCTGCATTCGAACAACCTTCTGGAACGAATAAAGTTTGTAAATCGAGGTACCACTGTATAGGTACAACACTGATTTATCATCAATGGATGATCCGACACCTCTTTAAGTTCAGACAAAATTACGAGACTATTATTCTGCCAGACTACTGTTATTTACTGGGCAGTCACAGGGGGTGTTGTCTGTAGTGTGTGCTCCCATATATTGTTTACACTGTAATTGGTGGTGATCCCTTGGTTTTCCATGATTCATAGCTAACAATCCTAGCTATGACTAGGGTTATGGGTACACAGGTAACTTGTCAATGCAAGTGGCTATTGACAAGTTAACTGAGTTGTCAGGTGAATTAATTGAAGGGCTAGAACATTGTTCTATTGTGACAGAACACAAGCTAAGGAATTTCTATTTGATCCATGAAAAATTACACAAAAATCATAGCACATAAAACAACTTTGCTTGGATGAAATATATAAGAAGATAGCCAAGAATGTGTCTTAGTAGAAGGCCTTTTGAATATCCCACAGCTTCAACTTAAGGATCTTAGATGTCCTCCCTGTAACATAACAGATCCATTATGAAACAGACACTAATCTTGACACCTCTCAACTTCCTGACCTTTATGATTACCTCTGCAGTTCCAGTAAAGTTCTAAAATTTACCACTTTTGGAGTGGTAGTACTGCAACAGTATATAATAGCCAATAAAACTATCCTTAAAAAAAAAATTGCCCCTGAGTTGCCATTTAACCTGAATGCACAGTCAGACATTAACTGTTCTCATCATATACTGCATGGAATAGAATTTTTTTGAACTGTGTACACCCACTGCACAGACTCAGTCTCTCATATTTACATACACCAAAATTTGCCACTAACAGTGTATTTGAGGGTGCTATGAATTATGCATGCTAGTATGTCATGGACACTGATTGCTATGATGTTCTAGTATGTGATAGGCTGCTTGAGGATTAACTTGACAACAAGGTGATTTTTAAACTATATTTTATTTCTCAGACTCAATTTAAAACTAGGAACCTTTGGTGTGAGCCATTTACTGGATTTAACTCTGCTGGTCATGTTCCTATGGACGAAAGAGTACTGTACTCCCAGGATCCTGAGAAGACAAAGGATGCTGAGGTAAGTTTTTTCTTTTTTAATTAAAACCTTTTATATGGCAGGTTATCATTATGTAAGGTAGAAGGACACAAGTGCAACTAATGTGACATTTTATTGTGGCAACGTTTCACTCTCCAGGAGCTTTGTCGAGCTATTACAAACAATACATGGACACAGAGGGTATATATAGGCTTAGAGTGAGGTATAATACTAGTGGTAGTAGTAGTAGTAGTAGTGATATAAGTTGTAGTAGTAGTACGTAGTAATACAATATGGTAGAACAATTAACTTGCACATGAGTAAAAGGATATAAAAGCTATTAGTACTTAGATATAAAAGTAATAGCTTTTATATCCTTTTACTCATGTGCAAGTTAATTGTTCTACCATATTGTATTACTGTTACTACAACTTATATCACTACTACTACTACCACTAGTATTACACCTCACTCTAAGCCTATATATGCCCTCTGTGTTCATGTATGGTTTGTAACGGCTTAACAAAGCTCCTGGAGAGCAAAATGTTGCCACAATAAAATGTCACATTATTTGCACTTGTGTCCTTTTACTTTACATATTGTCGGTAATTCTACCAACATACAGTAGACCGTCATTTAACACGATTTTGTTTTGCACGCTTTTGTTATAGCATGCTTGAAGAATTGCAGCATATTTTTGTTTAACACTCCGTAAAATTAGTTTAACACGGTTGTGTGCGGGGAAAAATTTTTGAGCGTGTGGTCGCCCGCCAGGCAGGATGATCTGTGGGTTAGTGGGTTGCACCATTGTGTCAATGGGAGAGATCTATCACCATCCCCTGCCTCCCTAAGCTACCCACACCACCCTCATCATCAAGTGTTTAATGCTGATGAGACAAGTGTTTTTTGGAAAAAAATGCCAACACAAACTTGTCAGTCAGCAAGAGAAAAGTGCACCAGGCTTCAAGACAGCAAAGGATCGCTTCACCTTGCTCCTTGCAGTAATGCGGCAGGTGATTTCAAGTGTAAGCCCATGGTTATTGATGCAGAGGAAATATTTATTGACTGGTTTAAGCATCACTTTATTCCAGAAGTCAAGTTTTACCTGCACAGCAAGACCCTTGCATTCAAGGCTTTCTTCATTCTTGATAATTCCCGTAGTCATCCACAACCCTTGCTGGATGTGACCTCACATGTAAAAGTTGTACTTTTACCTCCAAATACAACATCTCTAATACAACTACTGGATCGGGGAGTTATTAAATCATTCAAGTGTAACTACACAAAAAAAATTATGAAAAAACTAGTTGCATCAATGTACTCTGACTCCAACCTGGCAGTACCAAGCTTCTGGAATAAATTTAACATTGCAGATGCCATCAGCTATGCTAGAAGTGCATGGAATGAAGTGCCCCAATGAATATTAAATGCAGGCTGGGGAAAGTTATGGCCTTCTGTAGTTAATTCTGTCATTGGTTTCCCCTTGCTTGAGAGTCAGGTTCAGGAAATTGTTCATCTGGCAAGGAGATTACTAAGTGATGGTTTTGAAGATATGAATGAAGATGTGAATGAGCTCTTAGAAAATGATGATGATGATGAAGACAGGAGTCCAGAGGAAATGTTGGCAAAGTTCGATGCACAGGTACAAGGGAGGGAGATATCAGAAGAAGATGAAGAAGAACCTGAAGAAAGACAGTTAACATTGCAGCAGTGATGTGAGCCGTTTCATGTTGTTGCTAAACTAGCAGACTTTTTAACTGAAGAGGACCCTGACAAATCTAGAAGCAGTGCTTTGAAACAGGGTCTAGACCAGTTGATGATGCCTTACCGTCAGCTGTATAATGTACCGCACGGTAAGAGCCCAGAGATCCATTACAGAATTTATGCACACTCCAATACAACCATCAACTTCAGTACCAGAACCTCTACCATCCACTTCTGCCGAAAACCAACAACCATCCACCTCAGCCCAGTAGGGCCACACCATCCATATCCACTCTTCACAATCATCCATAAACACCATTACCCACAATTTAAGATAAATACTATTATTTCTGTTGCATTTGTAGTCTTAAGCAGTAATATATCATGACAATGCACTACAATTACACTCTTTTATTTTGTAAGATCTGGAGGTCTAAAAAAAAAGTTTGGCTTTTCGGGGGCTCCTAGGAACGTAACCTTATTTTTCCCATAAGTTCTTTAGTTTGTCTAACACGGCATTTTCAGGAACGTAACTACTGTGTTAAACGAAGGTCTACTGTATATACAGGGTATCATTATGTTAGCCTAAACATATGTTGTAATGCACAGTTCATCCTACATGTCCAGAGATTCTGACCAATCACAAGAGACCTAAGAGTCATTCCAGTTAAGATGCAGCAGAGTGTTCTCACCTTCTGTTGGTTGGGACACAATAATGCAAATCATTAGAGTTGGGTTGCACTGCATAACTAGTGGCTTTCTTTTGTGCCTACCATTATATTAATTCCTGTAAACTGTATTATTTGTATGGCATAAAGAAATAAACATTAATATCATTGCCCTTCTATAAAACATGCACATCCATAAGTGTACTCATCAGTCTTTTATCTACTAATACATAATCTAGCAAACTGCTGTCATTATTCCCTATACAGCCTCTCCTCACTTAACGACATACTCATTTACCAATGACTCAGACTTACGATGAGCTCTCTGACCAGTATGCATTCCTAAATAATGTATATTAGAGGTGATTTCCTCTATTGTGTTCATTCCAATATACAGTACACTACTGTATAAACATTTAAAAATATACCAGAAATGTTATAAATGATGCAAAGGTGAGGTGACATTAAAACAATATCAAAGATGGTTGACACAAACCCACTACCATTATAGTATGCAACTCGCTTAGCAATGAATTCGTTTACCAATGTGGTCTTAGGAATGGGACTCTGTGAGAAGAAGCTGTACTGCATTACCTATTACCAAACCTCTTTCAAGTCTCTTTCTGTACAAACTTAAATTAAAGCCCCCCCCCCATTATCATTTACACCTGGAACCCACACATACCTACTGTACTATGCTCTCTACAACAGTTTTTCTCACTTGAGAATTTAGGTCCCCCACTTCAGTTACTTTTTCATTTGGTTCAGAACTCTCTAAACACTGGTTTAACATGCTATAATAATATCAGGAAAAAGTACAAAATCTTGGACCTAGATACAGTTGACCATGCTTAGCTGGAATGCTGTAGCCTACCATGGTGATAAAGAAATGCTGAAGTCAACTTGATTACAATGAATATTTTGTATCATGTGTTAATACAAATTTTGGTTAACTTAACAAATATTTAAGAAGATATTTTGTGATGGTGAATTCTATAAAAGGCTGACAGTGATTGAGTAAATTATATATTTACAGATGACCACTCATAGTGTTCATAAGCAAGGAGTTGTGGCACCCACTGAGAATGATAGTGAAGTAGAGATGGAAACGGACCTTGATGATGAGGACAGTGAAGATGAGGATGACTTTCTAGACTCAGATTTCACCTTGAACGTAGTAGAGGATGACTTAGAGCTTGATGAGCCATCAGCAAAGAAAAGAAAAGGTATTTAAAGATCTGACATAGCCATATTTTAGGTTTTAAATTATTAAATGGTAGCCATTTAAATTTTAGATTTATTTACAGGTATTAACGCTCTCCTTTTCGAGGAGAGTGATGCTGACTCCGAGTTTAGCGGCTTTGAGATGGATGTATCTGCAAGTGATCGAGGAAATGTTGAAAACCTTGATGATAACCCTGATGACCCACAGCCAAGCACCTCTGGAGCAGGCAGCATTGCCACACTGAAGCAGCAGCCAAGGACCTCTGAGGTGGCCAGTATGGCCATACCAGTGTCTCATCCCAGCACCTCTGGGGTGGCTCACATGGCCACACTAGTCCCTCAGCCCAGCATCTCTGAGGTGACCAGCGTGGCTAGTCGGAGGCTACAACAGACGCGAAAATTAACACATTCCCACATTTGTGTTGATGATGATAGTGAAAGTGATATTAGTGATGATGAGATAGATTTTATGCCTTCAGAGGAGTCGACGAGTGAGAGTGATATCCAATATTCTCCAGCAAAGCGCACCTATAAGTGCCTGCATTCAGTCAGTGTGCCATATGCAGTCCCCAAGGTTCGTGAGAGGTCACAGTCAAAAACCCCGGCCACTGATAATGATACTGGTCATGAAAAGAATTATGTGGGCATAGAGGAGTTGGTGGGTGGCATGGTCCCTGGACCACCTGGCACACTGGGTGGGAAAACAATGGGACATGCACCACCCACTCCACCATGTGCTGTCTCCACTCCTGTTGGTTGTCCACCACGCCCCATGCCACAGGTCCAGCATGAACCCTCAGACCATAAATGGGATTGGGAAGAATGTGCAACATTCGTGCCACATCCTTTCAGTTTTGATGCCACTGGTAGTGGCATCCTTCCAGAATGTCCTATTACCAACAAGTCCCTGGAGTTAGAGTACTTCCAACTGTACTTTGACGAGCCGCTCATGAACCTGATCGTCACCCAGACGAATAAGTATTATCGTTATGTAATGGACAACACACACGTTGCAGAATCGTCACGGCTGCACAGGTGGAAAGATACAACTGTGGCTGAAATGTATATATTCCTTGCCACAGTCATGCTTATGCCTCATATCTACAAGCACAGTATAGCACAGTATTGGTCCACAGATTACTACATTAGTACCCCAATCTTCCGTGACCTACTCTCCTGCAACAGATTCAAGCTGTTGCTACGAATGCTGCACTTTTCAGACAAGAATACTTCTAACAAAAATGAGGTGCTATACAAGATCCAGGAAGTGTTTATGTACCTGAAACAAAAATTCAGTGCTTACTTTTATCCTTTCAGGAACCTTGTTGTTGACGAGTCCTTGATTCTGTTCAAGGGAAACCTGTCATTCAGGCAATATTTACCAAGCAACCATAATCGCTTTGGTATAAAACTTTTTGTTTTGTGTGACTGTGAGACTGGCCTGGTGTTGGATTTCATTGTCTACAATGGAAGGAACACACTGAACAATGCCGGGCAAAAGTTGGACATTTCCGGTGATATTGTTCGGAAGATGATTGAACCATACCTTGGCAAGGGCCATACATTGTTCACAGACAACTGGTATACAAGCCCTATGCTCGCTGATTTCCTCCGTGTGAACAAAACTGATGTGTGTGGAACAGTGAGAAGAAATAGAAAACATATGCCAAGGTTCAGTGGAGGCAGTGCTGATGGTGCAGTGCAAGTATTTCATGCCAATGACACCATGGCACTACAGTGGCATGACAAACGGGATGTGACGTTGCTGTCAACCATCCACAGAAATGAGATGGTACAAACAGATGAGGTGAGCAGGGACACCAATGAACTCACTGTAAAGCCAGCTGCTGTTATTGACTATACCAAAAATATGCAACTAATCGACAAATGTAACATTCACATAGGATTTGTTGATTGTGTGCGTAGGAGTCGCAAGTGGTACACGAAATTATTTTTCCACCTTGTAGACATTGCAATGCTGAATGCCTATAATATGTACCAGATAAAGACTGGGAAACGGCCTCCATTTGCTGACTTCACCCTCATGGTCATAAAGCAGATTGTAAAAAAATACCATGTGACTACTGTACCTGCCCCTCAGCAGCAACCTGCCCCTCAACAGCGACTAGAGGAGAAAGCAATTGACCGATTGCAGCCTAACAGTCACTTTCTCATGCTATTACCATCTACCCAGAAAAAGAAGTATTTTCAGAAAAGGTGTTTTGTGTGTGCCCACAGCACAAGGCGACCCCAACAGCGAAAGGACACACGATACATGTGTGAGCAATGTGGGGTGGCACTCTGTTTTTCACCATGCTTCAAGGAGTTTCATACACTCGAACACTTCTAAAAACATTGTATTCACCTGTCAGTGTGTAAATATGTGTCTAATTTTTTCTTTACTATTTCTACACCTAATACAGTGGTACCTCGGGATACGAACATTTTTCATTCCAGAAAGCTGCTTGAGTGCTGATACCGAACAAATTTGTTCCCATAAGGAATAATGTAAATTAGATTGGTCCATTTCTGACCCCAAAAGCACACTTACAAAAGCACTTACATAAATACACTTACATAATTGGTCGAGTTTTGAGCTGTTCGTATCCCGAGGTACTACTGTATTTGTGTCAGAACAACCAGTAGTTATGAAATTACAAGATCTATTCTCGACTGTAAATCTTCTTCTTTCTTTCAACAAACTGGCTGTATCCCACCAAGGCAGGGTGGCCCAAAAAGAAAAACTAAAGTTTCTCTTTTTAAATTAGTAAAATATACAGGTGAAGGGGTTTCAGTTGTAAATTAAAAAAAATTGTTATCTGAGAGATTTCTGCAAATGGCAAGATTCATGTTGTCATCATGTGGGTATCCACTGCCAACTTCACTGCCTTATATCATAGTAAATACTGACCCTAAATTAGAAAATTAACCTTTTTTTTTTTTCTTACAGATTTTTTTTCTTTTAAATATTTGGAACACTAGCAGAGATGCATAGATCAATGCCATGACAGTAAAAGGGTTAAATTATTAAATGGTAGCCCTTTAAATTTTATATTTATTCAGAGTATTTTATTTTAATGAGCATTAAACTCGTAGTGGTCATATAGTGGCTAGAGAATGGGGGACATTCAGATTTGATCCAAGGAAACTGTGGCTAAGTCCAGTTTCGTGGATCAAGAGCCCCCTCACCCACCTCCCTTGAGGTTTAAATTTTACTTTTAAATTTTTCTTTAAAATTTTAGTTTTGCAATTTGTGTCCATTTTCAAATTCTTTCACTTTCATAGTAGCCACAAAAGTCTGTCCTGAAAATAAGCGGGAGTTATCAGCTGTGATCAAGTTAGCAACTTGTCCACAATTTTTCTTTAGGTCAGTTACAACCTGTAGCTCAGAAAGAAGGCAGAGAAGGGAAGAGCTAATTCTCCAGCTCTGTGCATGAGTGTGTGGTAGAACCAATTATGTAATCCCAATGGCAGTTTGCTCAGCACGAAGCCAGAAAAAAGCAATGTTCAACACCAGTTCCAAAAATTAGAGTCTAACGAACAGCTTTGAGAAAAAGCAACTCCTCTAGAAAAAGCCTAATTTATAAAAACAGCTTTTGTGTGGCAAATGAAGTGACATATCCTGTATATTACCTCGTCAGCATCGCATTGCATCACAGAAGATGGTCGCAATGATATGAGACATCAGGACGAAATAAGGTCTGTGGGGGAATTCTTGGTATGCTTGAAGAGGATCTCATTACTGAGAGTTGATACTTTAGCCTGAAAGTGCTGTATTAGGAATTGAGTAAGAGGGAATTATGTAACAAGTTGCAGATGAATCATATCAGACAAAAATTGCAGTAGAGTATTGCAAAAGTTTTGTGTGTTATAACAAGAGGAAGGTTTCTGGAACATGATAATACTAGCCTGAATCAAATAGGGACTTGGTCAAATCATCTTTGATGTTCTCTGCTGTCAGAAGATTATTGTACTATCTCAAAAGTCACTCTTATATCTCACTGTGAAATGTCTAATCAAGGAAGCTATGATTTCCAGAAAGATTTTTTTTCCAGACAATCCGATGACCACTGTTGTTGACAGTCTTAAGTTCCTCATCAGTAATGCAATGCTGAGGGTGAACAAAGTAGTTTGTTGTTCAACTCATCATCTCCAGTACACAGACAAATTACAAGCATGGGACACCACTGCCAGTATATCTCAAATTTCTCATTCATTTAGTGTTTCAGATGGCTGGATGTAGGCATAAGCTAAACAAATTACAGCCTCTCAAAATTTCAGAATTTATTTTTCATTTGCTTATGCCTAAATCTGACTTTGAATTTATGCCTGATACACTTCTCACATTATTTATCTACAACTTTAATTTTTTTTTTTTTTTAAATTTAATATACAGTTTACAAAGTTGTTCAAATGTACCAAATGGAGTGACTCCCATCTTCACACTTGTTTGTTAAGCATTTTGGCACCATTTTTGCCATGCTCAGTTGTTACACAGCCTTATTCTCTGTTAATCATTGCCTTCACAACTTCCCATGGCTTAGGGCTTCACCATGTCTAAATCTGGCCCTGGACATTCAGAGCAAATTACTCATAAATGAATTAAATCATTTAGGTCTTCTAGTAAATTATAAGAGTTCAGCACCTTTAGCACAATGCAGGGGGGGATGTAGTTTTCCAATAGTTAAACTCTGAGAGGCTAATTTGTGCAGCAGAAATGTGCAGTCTCTTCTCTGGTGCAGCAGTTGACATTGGTCCTTCATCCAGAATATCATAGGACTTTTCGTGGAACTGCATTTCACTTTTTCTAGCCAGGCAGTGTGAATGATGCACCTGAGTGAGGATGGTGCACCTGACAAGCAAATAATAATCCTAGATGAGCTCACAGATGTCTCAGCTTGCCAGAGGTTTGAACAAGGGCTCTCGAAGATCAGAAATTTGAAGAATGAATAAAGAAGTGAAATTGGAAATGGCCTTGTTTTGGGAGAGATCAGAAAGGAGAAAGACTGGTTTAAATCTGTTTGCTTACACATTGATGATCATCAAGAACAAGATGATAGAAATACTGGATTAACTTGGTCAGGATACTATGGGGAACACTTCAGTGAGGTGGTCCCACACATCAGCAGCCTCTTTGCTCTGTTCAAAGATTCATCAAGCGATCACAGGATGATATTGCATGCAGTGCTAATAATCAGTAAAAGTTTTAATTGTCTTAATCTGATGAGTATAATGATTCAACTATTTACTGTGAAAAAATAATGCATGTATCATCATTGTAGAGTGGCATAATCAAAAGGAGAAGTGAAAGAATTTGGTGGGTAAATCCTTCCTTTACAGTGGTGAATCAAGTACCTACTCTATTTAACCCTTTTGCTGTCCGGCACATAGATCTATGTTATTGATACCATTTTGGTTCAAATTGGAATTTTTTAATTTTGTGTACCTTATAGGGTAGTCTTGATAGTTGAATGGGTGGTTTCTTGTGCTCAGTTGTGAGAACAAAAGGCATATTAAGAATTTGAGCACTGAAATTGGCTTAAAATAGGAATCAAAATGGGCAAAATCACCAGTGTGTAAGTTGCACCCATACTTCTAACTTTGAGCCTGTGTACTTCCATAAGTTTTCCAGCAAATTTTGTACTTATGGTGTCATTACCTTCTGAAAAAGATTCTTCATAATTTCAGTTTTTTCATGGATATGGAACACTTTTAATTTTGGAGCTTTGGACAGTGAATGCATCTAAGCATCCAGGCCAAAGAAAGTGGTTGGTAACCACTTCTTGTCATACATCATATGGTTGCCAGAATGCTTTTTTTTGACTGGGAGAAATGAAAAGGTGGAACTTAACAGTACATCACGAGTCAGCAGGATGCCATTTTGTAGAAATGAATTGTATATCCATTTGTGCGATAAAGTTGAGGTAATATTAAGTACACATGTTACAGAATATAAAAAATATGATCATAGTTCAGTGTATAATAGTGATATTCATATTGGTTAACTTTGCAAATTATTGTTCTCTCACTCTTTCTTCAGTAATAGTCAGCTACTATATTATAAGCCAGAGAACGGCAGTGTAAGGGCATGCACTGTATACATCTTATATGTAGTGAAGACTGATTTTAGTTTATCTCATTCTATATGGTAATAATTAGAAATGGAACGATACCAAAATTTTTGTCAGTACTGATACTGATATTCAATTTTAAGCCAATACTGATACCGTTACTCAATTTTGGGTCGATGCTGATACTTTGGCATACCACTAATAATGATACCAACCATGACCAGACTGTAGCTTTTTTTTTTTTTTTTTAACACACTGGCTATCTATCACCGAGGTAGGGTGACCCTCCCCCCAAAAAAAAATACTCACCCCCAATCCCTCTATAACTGTCTTACCAGAGGTGCATTATAATATCAGACTTCAGTATCCCTACCCCTCCTTCAAAGTGCAGGCACTGCACTTGCACCCACCAGGACTCTAGTCTGGCCAACCATTTACCCTGAAACTCTTCATAAATGTTACCTTGCTTACACTCCAGTAGCATGTCAAGTCATAAAAACCACTTGCCTCCACTCCTATGTAACATGTTCAGACACGCCTGTTGGACATCCAAGCCCCATGCATATAAAACCTCCTTTATCCCCTCTCTAACCTTTCTAAGATGACTGCTATCCTGCCTTCCCTCCAGTACAGATATAGACACCCTCCAAGTTATCCTATTTTGCTCTATTCTCTGTAAATATCCAAACCATCTCAGTATCCTCTCCTCATCCCTCTGGATAATACTTTTAGTAACCCCCACACCTTCTAATCTCCAAACTCTAAATTCTCTGCATTATATTCACACATACATTGCCCTGAGGCACATTTCCACTGCCTCCAGCTTCCTCCTCCTTGCTGCAACACATGTTCATCAATGGATGTGCATATACTACCAGAAATGAAGATCTATGTTCAAATTGTAGCATTCTCGAAATGGCTGCAGACGAGAATGTTAGGCCTATGAGAGAGAAAGTAAGCCTGCATCATTAGTGTGCGCGCCAGCAAAGTATTCCTCCACCATGCAGGGCGTTGCGGGAACAATTTGCCTCAAGGTACCATACCAACATGTCTTGCCCTAGATATTTCCCTCACTTTGCAGAATATTGGCCATTTGTTATTTGCCCAGGCTGATTCTGTTATTGAAGATAGCGGTGAGAACTTTAGTTTTTTTTTTTTTTTCCAACAAGTCAGCCGTCTCCCACCCAGGCAGGGTGACCCGAAAGGAAAGAAAATCCCCGAAAAGAAAATATTTTCATCATCATTCAACACTTTAACTTCACTCATGCATATTCACTGTTTTTGCAGAGGCGCCCAGAATACAACAGTTTAGAAGCATATATAAAGATATATAACATATCCCTCCAAACTGCCAATATCCCAAACCCCTCCTTTAAAGTGCAGGCATTGTACTTCTCATTTCCAGTACTCAAGTTCAGCTATATAAAAATAACTGGTTTCCCTGAATCCCTTCACTAAATATTACCTTGCTCACACTCCAATGGCTTGTCAGGTCCCAAATACCATTCGCCTCCATTCACTCCTAACATGCTCACGCATGCTTGCTGGAAATCAAAGCCCCTCGCCCACAAAACCTCCTTTACCCCCTCCCTCCAACCTTTTTGAGGACGACCCCTACCCTGCCTTCCTTCCCCTACAGATTTATACGCTCTCAATGTCATTCTACTTTGATCCATTCTCTCTCTAAATGACCAAACCACCTCAACAACCCATCATCAGCCCTCTGACTAATACTTTTATTAACTCCACACCTTCTCCTAATTTCCTAATGTCCTAATTTAGTTGTATGAATATGAATATACAGAGAGTGCTGCTGTCACTACAGATGCCCCATCAAGTGAGGAAAATCCTGATGAACCAAGGCCATTGACATCTCATACCCAACATTCAGAATGTCACTGGAAAATAAGGTTCTCTCGCGACTCAAGAATAGTAGAATCAAATACCGATGATGATTGAAGTGATTTTGAAATCCATGCTCCTGAAATGAGTGATTCTTCCAGTGATAGTGACATTCAGTCTGTGACAGGCAAGTCTAAATTCGTGAGATGTACCAGGTCTGGTAGTGTCCCACGTGTCTTGCCTGGGACAGAGGTGTCTGCCACATATAACTTCTGAGAGTGGTAGTGATGTGAAGCATGTACTGGTTGTGATGTTGGTGTGAAAAGGATGCACTTACAACACACCCACAATCAGAATGAATGACTGGACCATCAACATCCAGTGGTGTGGCATGTGGCTCCCAACAAACTGCTATAGCAGTAGCAGTGAGTTCGGCTGCATCTGGAACACCACATGTATCCACACCGCTGTTCCCAACACCCACTCAAGCACAACCATCTACAGCACTAAGCATCCCTACATCAATACACCACTGCCTCATGACTGGAAATGGGTGGAAACTAATACATTTGTCCCCACTCCACATGTGTTTGACAATAGCAAAAGTATAATCAAACTGAACTGTCCTATAACCAAGGAATCAGCTGAAATTGATTATTTTAAATTGTTCTTTGATAGTGTGTTGAACCTAATAATGACTCATACAAATGCATATTACAGTTTCAAAATATCATCAATAAATGTTACTGGAAGGTCACGTCTGAAGGCATGGAAGGACACCACAGTAGCAGAAATGTACTGATTCTTTGCAATGCTTATCCTAATGCCACACATCTGTAAGAACATCATTACAAATTATTGGTCCAAAAGCACTTTTTCAAAGACAGATTTCTGTTGCTTTTACAGATGTTGCATTTCTGTGAGAGAAATAACCCAGACAAGAAGATATGTTGTTCAAAATAAGGGATGTGTTCATGCATCTGAGGAACAAGTTCTCAAGAGTTTTTTTTTACCCATTCAAAAATGTGATAATTGACAAATCATTGAGTCATACCAAGCAAATGCTTTGGTATCAAGCTGTTTGTCATGTGTGTCAGCGAGACTAGCCTCATCATTGATGTTATCGTGTACACAAAAAGCCCAACACTAGAAGATACTAAAAAGTTACTAGGAATCTCAGGTGATGTCAAGAAAATGATGGAGCCTTATCTTAGTAAAGGCTATACATTAAATGCCAATAACTGGTATACAAGCACTTTGCTGTCGCATTACCTAAGGGCAGATGGTACAGATGTGTGTGGAACAGTCAGAGCAACAAGGAAGCATATATGTACTGAAATTGAAGACACTAAATAAGAAAAAAGAAATGCAAGTATTTGTTGATGACAGCAACATGGCAATTCGTTGGCATGATAAATGCAGTGTGACAGTGTTGACAATTAATGACAAGAATGAGTTATAATGACTGGGCAAGAAAAACAGAAATACAGGTGAAGACATTGAAAAGCATTACAACGAACAGGCAAGAATAACAGAAATACAGATAAAGACATTGAAAAACCAGTTGCAGTGACTGATTACAAAGACATTGAAAAACCAGTTGCAGTGACTGATTACACAAGTAATTTGCATTTGGTAGCCAAATGTGATATGCAGATTGGTTATGTTGACTGTGAGCGGAGGAGTAATAAGTGGCACCTCAAACTGTTTTTCCACCTTGTCAGTATTGTCATGTTGAATGCATATACCGTATTTTCCAGCATAAGGCGTGCTTTTTTTTCCAAAAATAAGTCTTAGAAAATCACCCTGCACTTTATATTCTCAGGGTCAAGGGTAGGCTTTGGGTTATGCTTTAGCAGTTGTTTACTAATATTACATTACAACTGCTTGGAAACATCAGGCCAGCAAGCAGCCGACACTCAATGTAAATGAACATCTAATCATAAGGGCTTTATATAACCATACATAATAAGCAAACCAGCTTCAACATTTGCAAATAATTGTAAAGTATCAGGGTCATTAGCCCTTGAATATGATTACTGATTTACCGTTATACTTCTGTCCCTCTCTCACACAAACATTCTACTGTTGGTTGAGCAGTTATTCAAGTTTTCAATTTTCAGATTACCAATACCCTATTATAATGGAGTCAAAGAGAAGGCATGCCTACGCAATTGGTTATAAACTACAAGTGATCAAATTTGCAAAAGAACATGGGAACCGAGCTGCAGCAAGGCATTTTGGGCCACCCCCAACAGAGAAAATGGTACGTGACTGGCGAAAACAAGAGGAGGAACTTCAGCAAGCAGGAAAATCAAAACACAACCTTCGCAAGCCAAAGGCTAAATGGGTGGAACTTGAAAATGAGATGAAGACTTGGGTTTTAGATCAGAGGAGCCAAGGTTTTGTAGTTACAACTAAAAATATAATTTTTGAAGCCAAATTGAGAGCAGCTGCAAGAGGGCATGATGATTTTTCTGGTGCTACAGGCTGGTGCTATAGATTCATGAAGAGGAACGGATTAACTATGCGAACAAGAACAAAAATAGCACAAAAAATGCCTGAAGAATGCATGGATGAGGAGGACAATGACTGTGAATATAACGAGCATTATGAAGAACAGGGAAATAGTGGGGTTTAATAAAGATTTGAATAGATAAGAGGATTTAAAAATGACCCGATAGTGGGGAGGGCCATGAAAATCAGGAATTTTTTTTTTTTTTATATATTTTTCTAGAATATTCCTACCAAAATTGAGGTGCATCTCATATGCTCGTGCACGTTATATGCCAGAAAATACGGTAATATGTATCTGATAGTCTGGCAATAGACCAGTCTACCATAAATTCAATGAAAATGCCATAAGACACATCATAGATAAATACCCAGGACATATCATAGATAAATACCCAGGACACATCATAGATAAATACCCAGGACACATCATAGATAAATACCCAGGACACATCATAGATAAATACCCAGGACACATCATAGATAAATACCCAGGACACATCAGATAAATACCAGTCATTGAACAGACAGTGAACTCCCATGTTATGTGAACTGTGCTTTGAAGCAGTACATAACACATCTTCCTTCTTTTGAGAAGAAGTGTGCACAGAAGATGTGTTATCTATGTTCGAACACCACCAGAAAAGCAAGGAAGTGCAAGGACACATGATTCATGTGTAAAATTCTCAAAGCTCCACTGTGCATAGAACCTTGCTTTGAGAAGTTTAATGAACTCAGTCAAGCAACTGTAGCTGGCAGTGAACAGTGAGCATATAGTGTGTGTGTAGTGAGTGTATAATGCATATAATATATAAGAAAAGTAAAAAGAAAAGTGAACAGTTTATCAGCAAAAATTTTATTCAAATAAGAAATAATTAGTTATTGAACACTAAATATCCTGTAAATATGATCTGAAAAAAATGTATATGAATCACAAGTCTGTTTTGAAAAGAAAAAATAGTCAAAAACATTTAATAGTATAAAGTTGCAAGTGTGGAGGATGCAACCATGTTACCACATGAGGCTCACTTCCAGAAACTTCAAACAACTATTTCTTGGTAAGTTTTAATCCAGTTTTCATTATTTTTTAAAGTGTAAAATTAAGGCAGTTTTTTTTTTTTTCCCCAGAAATATTTTGGCACTATAATACAATTTCATTTCACCCCCCATTTCTAAAATCCCTTGTAAGAGTGTTGGTATGATTATACTCTGATACATTCCCCTTTTTGTCTCCATGGGTAACATTCTTTGTCTCCACAGGTGCCTCAGTAAACCATCCACCTTTTTTTGCTCGTCAGTTCTGTGGTTTACCTCATTTTTCATAGACTTGTTTGTTGACAAGTCCACTCCCAAATATCTGAACACATTTACTTCTTCCGTACTCCTTTCCAATCTGATATCCAGTCATTCATTACCTAAATTTTTTGTTTCTCTCATCGCCTTGCTCTCTCCTATGTTCACTTTTAATATCCTTTTACATACCTTCCCAGATTCATTCACAAACTTTGGCAACTTCTCTTCAGAATCCTCCAGAAACACTGAGTCATCAACAAAAAGCAACTGTAACATCTTTCATTTTCTCTTTGGTTCTTTATTTTAATCCCACACCTCCCCCCAAAACACCCTAGGGTTGACTTCTTTTACAACCCCGTCTGTTAATACATTAAGCAACCATGCTGACATCACACATCCCTATCTAAGGCCTACTTTTACTGGAAAATAATCTCCCGCTCTCTCTCCTACATATCCTTGATGATAATGATGATAATAATGATTTTATTTCAGCATGATACAATGTTTGTACAAAGAAGAATGACATTTGGGTGTACATGCCAAAAGCCCCTTCATGTGCAGAGCATTTCGGGCAAACTTGAGACTAACTTAAAATTAATACAGCAATAACAATATGAGTAATTTTGTGCATACAGTGGACCCCCGGTTAACGATTTTAATCCGTGCAAGAGGGGTAATTGTTATGCCGAAAAATGTTTGTGATGAATTTTCCCCATAAGGACTAAGTAAAATAAACTTATTCGTGCAATCACCAAAGTATGAAAGAAAATTTTTTTACCACATGAAATATTAATTTTAATACACCAACTGAAAAAGGCTGCACTACATGACACTTACTTTTATTGAAGTCCTTGTGATGATTGATGATGGGAGGAGGGAGAGCATTTTTTTACTTTGAAGGGATCCCCTTCCATTACGACTTGAGTACAAGTCCTTTTCGGGGTACTTCCCTTCTCTTTAATCCACAAAAGGCAACCAGCTTGAGAGTCACTGGACCTCTGTCGCACAAAAATACTGTCATAGAGCTCTGTACCTTCCCTTTTCCTTTACGATTGTCTAAATGGGCCACAACTTGTCATGAAATGTCACCACACGCTGCAACAGCTTGTCAGGGTGATTTTATCATAAGGTTGCAGTTCAACCCACGTGCACACATTCTTTAATCTTAAG